CGAGCCGCCGCAGCCGCGAGCTCGCAGGGTGCACTGACCCCGTTGGGGGCTGGGGTGCCCACCCCGCAAGCTATCACTGAGAGACTTCCGGTCTGTGAGCCCTGTCCTCCGCACCCCACCTTTCCGCCGCCTAGAGCCTCCGCGCCCTCCTGGGCCCATCGGAACTTGGCACAGGCTCACCCCACTTTGTGTAGGAACTCCGGATCCTTCCATGGGGTCCTCCTTCCAGATACTCAGGAACCCCACTTCCTGCCAGGGTGGAGAGGATGGGGTCCTTGAAGGCCAGCTGAGGGCCCTGACTTCGAGTCAGAGGTCAGGGGTCAGCAGCAGAAGAGTGGATTCGTGCTGAGTCATTGGCCATGGGTGGGTTCTGTGCCCTCCCTCCCTTGGGCAGGTGTTTCGTAGGCAAATGTGTGGGCATGCAGGCCACTGGGGTGCTCCATCTCAGGCTTGGGAGTGTCTGCGGCCCCGTCCATAGCCCGGCAGACACGTACCCATGAAAGGACACGACGTGAGGAATGAAGCCATTGGAGGTCTGGGCATCACCCTGTGATGATGAGGGGTGTCTGCTGGGAGGGCTCCTGGCAACGGGGGATTCCACAGTCCAGATGATCCCTGCCCCCATTACACACAGCCTGGAGCCTGGATGCTGTGTGGATATCCCTCCCCTGTGAAATCCGAAGGGACAGTGGGGGTCCTTTCTAGAGTGTCCCCCAGCGTCGGGAAGTGCCCTCAAACAAGGTTAGCAGGGTTGTTCCCCCTGCCCTGTATGGTCAGACACCGCCCCTACAGCCAGGCTGGCAGTGGTGAGTGGGCGCCCCGGCCCAGCCAGACAGGCCTACACCTCACCCCCATGTGGTTGGCCTCGATCTGCCCCTGGCACAACCAGAACAGTGTTCCCTAACGAGCCCCATATGTCAACCATGAGGACAATGCCCCAACAAATAAATGTTGGGACAGCTTCTCCCAGGCCAGTTGGCATCTGGGGCTGTTGAGTGGCACCAGGTATTTCCCATGTCCCAACTCCATGTCACCCCCGGGGGTACCAGGCAGGACGGCGGCCTCCTGACCCCAACATTCTCAGCCTAGTGGCTCCGGTTAGCACCCGTGCAGTCCAGCTGGCCAGCGCCCATCCTGTCAGCGCCCCAGGGCACACTCCTCTGTCTGGGCTGAACCACCTTCCCAGCCAGGGCCAACATTCGGGAACCTGTGTGCTAGGCGGGGATAGGTGTCCTGCCTCCCTCCCCAACCCGAGGAGCAGTGGGATGGGCTGAGCGGTCCCTAGGGCTCTCCTTCCAGGGAGAGGTACCCAGGTAGCTCGGTGACCCCATGTGCGTGGGCCCTGGGTGCGCCCCATCTGACCTTTCTGGAGAGGCCAGGCACCCTGCAGGGACCCTTTGGAGAACAGAGTGGGCTGTGGGGCAGCCAAGTATGGATGATGGTGGGGAGCCCAGGACCTGGAAAGGTCCCTGCTGCCCTGGACGGGGGGCTGGTGGCAACAGGACTCTGAGCAAGTGGAGAGCCAGATCTGGGCGATGTGGAGTGCAGGCCCTGCAGGGCCCTGTGGGCACCAAGGGGTTGTGGTCCAGGGAGGTTTTATCTGAGAAGGACAGTGACAAGAAAGGTCAAGGGAAGGAGGGGGGCTGGTAGACAGAGACAGAGTCTAGGGGTCAGTGTTGCAGGGCTGGGCAGTCATAGAATGGGCTGTGGGAACCCAATTGTGAAACCCTGGGGATGGGGAGGAGGTGTCGCCCGGGGCTATGCGTAGGGCTTAGGGTTGCCATTCCAGGAGGAGGGTGGTCACAGCCCTGTTTGCTGTGCTCACCTTGGCTAGGCACGGTGTCTTGTGGACCCTCAGCTGTGTTGTGCAGTAGAGGTAGGCCAGAGAGGTGCAGTGACCTACCCACGGTTTCCCAGGCAGTCAGGGACAGACACATGCCAGCATGGGTGGCACCAGCTTGTCCAGTAGGCACAGTGCCAGGGGCCTGTGAATGTGTTAAGAAAAAAGTGAATACTATAATGATGAATACAGCCTGGATTATGTTTGTCTTTAAGCCAACAGTCATAAAATATTTTGGGAGGGGGGTTGGTTTTATTTTCATTTTTTGTAGCGATGCAGTCTCACTCTATCACCCAGGCAGGAGTGCAGTGTCACAATCATAACTCATAGCAGCCTCCAACTCCTGGGCTCAAACAGTCCTTGTCTCAGCTTCCCAAGTGGCTGGGACTGCATGCACACGCCACCATGCCTGCCTGATGTTTAAAATTTTTTGTAGAGATGGGGTCTTGCTGTGTTGCTCAGGCTGGTTTCAAACTCTTGGCTTCAAGCGGTTATCCTGCCTCAGCCTCCTAGAGGAAGGAGAGACAAGGCTGGGATACCTGTGCCCCACCCTCTACCAGTATCCCCTCAGCTTGGGGTGTCCCACAGTCTGGATTGCCCTCTGTGAGCTGGCTCAGCTGGTGTCCTGGAAGGCCTCCTGGGCATGGGCTAAACTTCAGCCTACCCAAGTCACTGACAGCCCCTTCCACAGTGTGTCCATTCTGGAGGGTAGGAGTGGTCCCAGTGCCCCCACCCCTAGTCATGTGTCTTCCTGCCCCTCCAGACCCCTGGCCCCAACATGGCCCGTCGCTCCCAGAGCTCCTCGCAGGGGGACAACCCGCTGGCACCCGGGTACCTGCCGCCTCACTACAAAGAGTACTACCGCCTGGCGGTGGATGCACTGGCCGAGGGTGGCTCGGAGGCCTACAGCCGCTTCCTGGCGACTGAGGGGGCACCAGACTTCCTGTGCCCTGAAGAGCTGGAACATGTGAGCCGACACCTTCGGCCTCCACAGTATGTTACCCGAGAGCCACCCGAAGGCAGCCTTCTCGACGTGGACATGGATGGCTCCTCAGGTACATACTGGCCAGTGAACTCAGACCAGGCCGTGCCTGAGCTTGACCTGGGCTGGCCTCTGACCTTCGGCTTCCAGGGCACCGAGGTGACCACCTTGGTGCAGCCACCGCCCCCCGACAGCCCCAGCATCAAGGATGAGGCCCGAAGGATGATCCGTTCCGCCCAGCAGGTGCGCCATCTTGGGCTCAAGGGTAGTGGGGAGGGGCCAGGGCTAGAGGCACCTGGGTGGAGGAGACGCATGAGCACGATCAGCTTGGGTGAACCCTGAGCTCCAGCTGGAGCGGGGGTTCCTGGCAACAATCTTCAGGGCCGACAGGTCTCGATCATCAGGGGCTACAGGCTCTGCACGGGTCTGCTTGCCCATGGTCATGGCCAGTGCCCAGAAATTCAGGGGCTCTGAGATGGGTGGGCACCGCCCCAGCCTGGGTTGATTGTTCAGATAATTACCTCTCATCCTGCCCGGTGGCCCTTGGCCAGCTGAGGGCTTCTAACCCTCACCAAACAGCTAGCAGACGGTGCAGGGTGCATCAGGTCCAGACGCCAAAGGCCCATGACTTTCTCCCCTGCCCATGGCAGCAACCCTGTCCCAGGGCAGAACTGGAGCCTGGGACTCAGCCCTGACAGCTGTCCTGGAGTGGGGGCAGCTCAGCCGTCTGTAGGGTGGAGGGGATTTTGAGGTGCCCTTGCCATGCCCCCAGCGGGGCCCCATACCCCAACCTGGCCCACCCTCGTCCAGGGTTCTCTGCCCTGCACCTGCCTCGGCTCCCTCCTCATGACCAGCCACTCCACACCTCTTCTCCTGGTCCTGTGGTCCCTTCCTCCTACCCATCTTCCAGACGCGGCCCCACTCCCAGGGATGGACTAGCTTGTTTCACAGTGGTTGTGGGTGATCCAGACGCTTCCTGGGCATGGTGGGGAGGCTGGACAATAATGTGGGGACAGCAGGGGCCTCTCCTCTCTGTCCTGACCCGCCCCTGCAGGTGGTGGCCGTGGTGATGGACATGTTCACTGATGTGGACCTGCTCAGCGAAGTGCTGGAGGCCGCCGCCCGTCGGGTCCCAGTCTACATCCTGCTGGATGAGATGAACGCGCAGCACTTCCTGGACATGGCCGACAAGTGCCGTGTCAACCTGCACCACGTGGATGTGAGTTCCCAGGAGTGGGAGATTGGGGAGGACCTGTGGCAGAGATCTGACTCCCCTCCCTCCCCAGTTCCTGCGGGTACGGACTGTGGCGGGCCCCACCTACTACTGCCGCACTGGGAAGTCCTTCAAGGGCCATGTCAAGGAGAAGTTCCTGCTGGTGGACTGTGCCGTGGTGATGAGTGGGAGCTACAGGTGCGCCCGCGAGCTTCCCTCACCCCCTTCTCTGGGGCCTCCTCCTGTAGCCCCAGCACCCCCTTTCCACACCAGGGCCCTCCTTGCCAGGAGCCCTTGTCCTGTATCCCTGCGTCCTCCCCGCCCCACCCGACGCCCACGGGGCTGCAGTGCCCTTGCTCCAGCTCGGTTTGACTCTGGCCCTGACCCCCCACAGCTTCATGTGGTCCTTTGAGAAGATCCACCGCAGCCTGGCACACGTGTTCCAAGGAGAGCTGGTCTCCAGCTTCGATGAGGAGTTCCGCATCCTCTTCGCGCAGTCCGAGCCGCTTGTGCCCTCGGCCGCGGCCCTGGCCCGCATGGATGCCTATGCCCTGGCTCCGTATGCCGGGGCCGGGCCCCTTGTGGGCGTCCCTGGGGTCGGGGCGCCAACCCCTTTCTCCTTCCCGAAACGAGCGCACCTCCTGTTCCCGCCACCCCGGGAAGAGGGCCTGGGCTTCCCCTCCTTCCTCGACCCAGACCGCCACTTCCTGTCGGCCTTCCGCCGGGAGGAGCCTCCGCGGATGCCGGGGGGCGCG